TAGAGATAGGCCAATAGTCTCACAACGTGGCGGACAAAATGGTGAAAGCGTGACGTTGAAAAACAGACGAAGAGATGTTACAATTGGCAAAATGAAAGACTCTATTCGATGAAGAAAGTTATGAGACAAAATTTGCGATGGGGAGAGCCGTCCATACAAGCTTATGATTGATAGGACAATACAAATAAAAGGAAATCTGTGAAACTGAATGATGTGACCTGTTGTTATTTCTTATTTATTTACAGACCGATTGCAGCAACATTCTTTTAACTAACTTGACTCAACAGCGCATCCTTACAAGATTATCTTTATGACTTATGGCAATAAAAAATAACATAAAAACACATTTATTGAGAAATATTAACAGTACATTTTTAGTTTTTAACCAAACCTGTTTTTATTAATATGATTTTAATAGATCTTGTTCGTGGAAAGTAATAAGGTTTGTTAGATATGATTAAAAATTGTGAATATCAGGGCATTTTTCACAAACAAATTTAACAGCATTAATAAAAAAAAATATTGAGAAACAGGAATTTTTGTTTTTTACAAGGATTATAAGTTTTATGGTGTTTCAATCTCAGGGAACTGAAATATGGTCGCATGTAGTTTACACTATTCCACTGTTCACTCTCTCCCTCCTCTCTTCCTCTCTCTCACGCTCTCTCTCTCTCTCTCTCTCTCTCTCTCTCTCCCTCTCAAATCTCTCAACACGACAGAAAAGAATTGCACATCTACACGGAAAACAAATACTTTGATTGTATCTAAAATTTTCTAGCATTGCATAAATTCATTTTTTTATCTAAAATTGTCTAGCATTGTATAAATTCATTTTTTATCTAACATCTTCTAGCTTCGTATAAATTTATTTTTTATTTTTTTCACATCTTACATGTACATGTAAAATTTAAACAATGTTTATAAATCCCAGGCCCTGAAGATAATCTCAATAAAGATCGAAAGATGTGTCCGAGTGGATCGAGGTCAGGGTAGCTCAAGTGGTAGAGCAGCGGCGTATCTAGTCGAAGATCGTGGGTTCGAATCCCGCTCGTGCCATTGACTTTTTATCTCAACTAAAAACCTTAATTAAAAGATTGAAACGTTGGCACGATAAAGAAAATGTTTTTCTAAAACCTATGTCACACTAGACCGCATCTTCTGTCGCATCGTCTCTGAATAATCTTGAACTAACGGTCACTATACACCACACATTTTGACAAATATGTGATCAAAATTATAAATAAAGAAATCATGCTTAGAACTTGATTTGATTATTGACGTTGATAATTATTTCTCAATTGATTAACTCAACCAGAAATATTGGATATACATTCAACCACATTGAGAATAAATAGGAGTGTGTAAAGCCTATAATAAAACATAATTGCCTTAGTTGCTCATTTCTCTCTCTCTCACTCTCACTCTCTCTCTCTCTCTCTCTCTCTCTCTCATTCTCTCTCTCTCTCTCACTCTCTCTCTCTCTCTCCCTCCCTCTCTCTCTCTCTCTCCCTCCCTCTCTCCCTCTCTGTCTATCTATCGATCTATCAGTTTTGATATTTTGACAAATCTCTCAACACGACAGACAAGAATTGCACATCTACACGGAAAACAAATACTTTGATTGTATCTCTCTCTCTCTCTCACTCTCTCTCTCTCTCTCTCTCTCTCTCTCTCTCTCCCTTAAAAATTAAAATTAAAAAATAAGCTACTTTCTAGATATGTATAAAAACGACAGATTAAAAAGGATGAAAATTGTAAATCAATTTTAAGTAAATAAAAAATACAAAAAGGCTCTTCGTATGAATGTAAACCTATATAGGTTAAGTTTAAAAACATCTTACTTTAATTATCTACAAAATTTGTTCTTGTATGTAAATTAAAATAATTGTTTATTTGTAAAATGATACCTCAACTAAACGTTTAATTTTTTTTCTAAATAATTCTCTAAGTTGAAATTAATTTTTGTTTTGTTTTTGGTCAAGTTAAACTTATATGCACGGGTTTAATGTATTAACGATGTATAAAACAGAAATTGTTTTTGTAGGATTAAGTAGAGTACTCATTGAAATCTACTTTAGATATAAGAGTGGTCCTGGAAACCAAATCTTGAGTGATGTATAAGTAAAACAGAAATCAATCAACCTCTCTATCTATCTCATTCTATCTATCAGGTCTATCTGTCCCTCTCTTTTCCTTCTTTCTCTTTTTCTCTTTTCTCTCTGTGTCTATATTTCTTCTCTCTCTCTCTCTCTCTCTCTCTCTCTCTCTCTCTCTCTCTCTCTCTCTCTCTCTCTCTCTCTCCCTCCTTTCACCTTCCTATACACATATCCTCTTTCTTATTTTTCTCATTTGAAAGTTGCACATAACTGATATCAAGTGCAAAGCGATTGTAGCTTATCTCATTTTAAGATAAAATAAATGCGACTCGTTGAAATGTGATGATTTAAACGGCGAAGTTTACTGTTTACACTCCATATTTACAAAATGAAACAAGACAGTAACTTAGTAGCAAATACTCAGTAGTAAATAAATTGATATATTATTATTATAGTATCCGTCCTTCTTTTCTTTTAAGAAATCCTTCAGTTTCAGTAAAATTCAAAACATTCAAAACGTTTACAACAAAAAGAAACAAATGGAGCATAGATGATTTGAACGTCATCAAACTTCATGATACAAGATTTGAATTGAAGACTTATATTAAATTCACTAATTTCGTGGTCCGTTTGACCAATTAATATATTACAATTAATTAAGGTTTTTAGTTAGGATAAAAACTTATATTAAAGTAGTTTGACGGTTTGATACATAGTTATAAGTTTGAAAGTGGTTCTCTGGACGACTATGGTCGTGGCGAGTAGTCTGTCAACAATTTTTCATTCATTCTTATGTTTATTATTTTTTTGTCAATTCAAATCACTGTTTAAAAGTTGTGAAATAAGTGAAAATGCTGTTTGCTAATGATATGGGAGAAAACTTTCTGAAAAAGTTTTTTACTACATCCAGATTATAGTATATCGAGGCTAAAAAATGAAAAATTCGTTATGCCGAAAGTTTTAATTTTTTAGTGAAATGTGTAAGAACCAAATTTATCTATTAATTTCAATGTCAATTTATATATTTTTATATAATAAGTAATTAATTGTTGCCATTCTGTCTGAAACATTTCCACCACTTATTATATTAATTCAGTAATACAACCATTGATTTATGGGCTAAACAAGAAAGTTATAAGGATTTTGAAACTTCTTCATGTTATCGTGATATCGTTATGAATGTTTTAACGAATGAACATTAAAATTGGTCTTAAATCATTAAGTTTAATACAGGTAAGAACAGAAGAAAAAGTGGAATAAAGTTTTTAAAAGTTCTTTTATTTTTCAGATTTTAACTGCTTAAATGCTGTCAGTAGCAAATTAATAGAAGTAATAATAAATCAGTTAATATAATATAATATAACAATAATAATCCATTATATTTACTGGTATACTGACCAAATTACTTCTTTCAATTAATTAATATTTTTACGTAAGGTTTTGGTTGAAATGAAAAAGTTAGTGTCACGAGCGGGATTCGAACCCAAGACCTTCGTCTGGACTGGATCGAAGTCACAATAGGTCAAGCGGCGTGGGTTCGAATCCCGCTCGTGACACTAACTTTTTCATTTCAACCAAAACCTTACGTAAAAATAGTAATTAATTGTTGGTATAATGTTTGGTGAATCTATAACAGATTTCTTACATAGTAATCCCACCCTCATCATTTCTACTGTCGGTATCATACCTATTAACGTTCTCTCTGTAACTTTGATTTCAATGAACCACATTTCAATATTAATATTTTCGTTAATAAATTAAGGGACAGCTTCGTTGAGCTTTAAAAAAAAGATTGTAGTATTTATTGTAACAGAAATTTTTTTAACTTAAATTTGGATAAAACGTATCCTTTATGTACTTTCAGGCTCCTAATGACGCAATATTTACACTTTTTAATTAACTTTCCGGTCGTGACTTCTTTTAGATCAAGTTTTATTATTTATCGAAATATTTCTTGCATTCAGACTTAGAACACGCAATATTACTACTTGACTTAAATTCTGCTCTACTAGCAGCTCAAGTTTTTTTTAGCCGTGGGTTCGAATCCAGCTCGTGGCACTAATTTTTCATTTCAACCAAAACCTTACATAAAAAGATTAATTAATTGTAAGAAATAATAATAATAATGATGAATCTTTAGGTGGGGGTTAGTATGTCGATTGACTTTTGGTAAAAGATAGTTCTATTCACAAATAACCAACAAATTTGTGAGAAAAACCATCGTTTACAAAAAGTGAAGAAAAAGTTCAATTCATTGACCAGATTGGAAGAGAATAGAAATATTGGAGTTAGGAGGTAAAATAGTCGATTTCCGAAAGCACACTAAGTAAGAAAATAATAAAATTTTCCATTTAGAAGGAATAAAATGGGGAAAATTAGAAGTTATAACGTGGAAAGGGTTGGAAATTACCGGGTAAACGCGATAGGGATTTCGCCGGGGGGTGAAGTGGAGGAAATTATTGAACAATTGTTTTGCGTTCGTGTTGTTATAAGGGGTTGTCGTACGGGGGATGGGGGCAAGGGATGATGTATGGAGGAGAGCTTTTGCCGAAGCGGGTCATGTACCGGCTGTAAGTTCTCATTTAGACGAGAACCGGCAAGTAAATCCCCGCTGGGAATACATCAAAGAAATATATAAAAGGGGGTGGATGGTAGGGTCGGTGGGCGGTTCTCCGGGGGGTGGAAAGAAAAATAAGGATAAACACGTGTGGAAAATCAATAGATGTTTAGCGCTTTTGAGGGTGGGGTGAGAATTAATTTGAATGCCCGTACAAATTGGTGCAGAGAGAGGTTAGAGTTTATTGAAGAAAGGGGTGGGAATGAAAGGCGGGACGGAGCGGACCAATCGGCGAAGGACGAGGCGGGCCTCGAACCGGGTGGGGGCAGAGCAGGCAGAGCCCGCCGCTTCCAGTCATCTATACAGGTTCGCCTAGTGATGAGGTGACCTGCAAGCGGTAGGATGATGGTTTTAGAATCCCCGTTGCGGTTATACACGGGCGCGGGCATATTTCCGCCGCATTCCATTTTCCCGGCTCACAGATTTTCTTTGGGGCACTTTTCACCCGCCGCCTCCGGCTTCCTCACAGCGCCTCCGGGTCCGCCGCCGCACGTCAGGTTCCGCCCCCAGGAGCCCCACAGGAGGTTGCCCCGTCGCCCCCAATCCCCTCAGCATCTTTCAAAAGGTACGTCGTGCTCATAACAATGTTTTTGTAAATTAATTACACCTTACAACGATTCGATTCAACTGAAAAAATGAATACCACACAATTAAAAAAGACAATAATAAATTATTATAACACTAATAAAATAATCAACGCAGATTTCAACACAGATATATTTAAAAATCTGACACAACACAATTTCCAATAGAATAAAGTTTACAATTTTTGTTGAAGTCGTGAAGAGCGGTCAAGAATGTGGCAGTTTAGAAAAAACCTTTTTCATTTTTTTCCGACGTTTCGACCTTTATCCGGGTCATCTTCAGGAAATAAAGTGTGGTGCTTGTGTGAAAGTGTTGTGATTGAATTGAACAGTTTCACCAATACGGCACCACAAGAATAGCACCGCACTTTATGCCCTGATGATGACTCGGATAAAATTCGAAACGTTGACAGAAAAAATACAAAATGTGATTTTCTAAACTACGTCATTCATGACTGCTCCTCACGACTTTAACAAATTATGAAACAACAGGTCACTAAGTAACACAGCCCCCAAGAGGACCAACACAACCAACATGGGATTTTACGAACCTATCACCTACAAACGTGGACATCAAGCCACTGCCACACTCAATAATATTGCAAGAAACCAGAAGAAATTAGCAGCAGCTACAAATAAATTTTATTTTCATTTTTTAGTATGATTTTATATTGTAAAAGTACAAATGTTTTTTCATTATATTAACTTGTTCGTGATCAGATCTACTCTAGTTCATTCGTGTACAACCTACGTTGAAATTGTCAAATTTTTTTGCTTTGCCGACCAATTGGAAATATACTTATATAACAGTATTTGTATAATATAGATGTTATAAAATAAAAATCCCTTGCCACCGGGCTATAAACAGAAATGTAAATAAGAGAAACCTACCAAAAAATAAAAAGGCCGAAAAAAAACTTGCGCGACTTTTTTAATCAGCGATTAAAAAATTGGTTTGAAATTTAATTTATTTATTATTTAAATAAATAACCCCTTTCAATATCCATTAAATAAGTATGTTTGCAAAAAAAAAATTAAGGAAAAAATGCCGCGGTTAGATAAGCTCATAAAACATGCAAAAATAAATTTCCAGCACAATTTTTCATTAATGAAATATAACAACAGTCCACTGTATGTAATGTTTAACTATTTCCGGATTTGGTCAAACAATTATTTCTTATTTAAAAAATATCTTCAAAACATGTCAATCTTATAACTTAACTTTCATATAGAACTTATTCCTAGCAGATTAATTGGATATAAATATTACGAAGGAACACTCCTATTTTCTTGTTTATTTTAAACTATATGTATTTTCACCCTATATTTAATACATACTTATTTTAATATAATGTCATAAACAAAACTTATAAAAACACAGCGGAAAAAAATCAAGGGAAATTGTCGCAGTTAGATAACAAGCTCATAAAACATACAAACATAAATTTCTAAAACACCGTGAATTAAAAATGAACCCAATTTGTTATTTATGAAATATGACAACAGTTCACTATACATAATGTTTAACTACTGCCGGATTTAATTAGGCAATTATTTCTGATTTAAAAATATACTTTAAGAAAGTCAAACTTGTAACTTAACTTTCACATACAAATTATTCATAAGATAAATTGGTTACAAATATTACAAACGATTTATGAATACAAATATATTTTTTTAATAGACTCAAAGAAAAAATCGAACACACCTCACTTTATTATTTATTTTAAACTTCATGTATGTAGTTTTATTTTTACATTAATTACAACAGACTTATTTTAATGTAAACCAAATTAACATAGATATGAAATTTATGAGATTTAATAAAAATATTTAATTATAATGGTTTGACAGAAAATTCACTAAAATACCGGAAAATTATTTAGTGATAGATTAAAATTTAACTAAAAATTTATTATATCACTAAATTGTTTTCCGGTGTTTTTAGTGGATTTTCTTTCAAAACATCACAATTAAATATTTTTTAATTAAAACTTGAATTTCTAATCTGGTTTTAGTTTATGTTAAAATAAATGTGTTGTAGTTAATATAACGATAAAAACAGATATAGTTTGAAATAACAATGCAAGTGCCCAGATTTTTATTTTTATTATCTATTTATTTTGTCTTTGAGTGTATCCTGACTCAGTTGACTAAAGACTATTTATTTATGACGCTTTGAAAGGGAAATTGATCAAAACACCGGAAAATCATTTAGTGATATTTTAAAATTTAACTTATACTATCACTAAATGATTTTCTGGTGTTTTTGGCGAATTTTTCAAGGTTTTTCTGATCTCGACCAAATGTAATACCCCAAAACCATAATAATTAAATAAATTTTATTAAAACTCATAAAATTTTGAACTCGTTTAATTTTGTTTACGTTAAAATAAGTTTTTTTTGTCTTTGAGTATATGTTTATTTATTTTACAACTCGAGTAATAACTAATGTATATTACAACGTTTACTTACGAAGATTTAATGAAGAAGTTTAACTTTTTATTATTCTATTTTTCCGGAAAATACACATTGTTTAGTAACTTGTTTTTCATCAAGTTCATTCAGGTCTAAATTGCATTTTAAATGTTTTATTTTGTAGGCCGTACAATCTAGTTTGGTTTGCCTCCACACAAAATTGTACAGAAGCAGAATGATTTTAACGAGTTCGATAGGTCACAACTAGAGCCCGGGTTTGACGCAATTACATTTTGTTTATACATAATATAAAACACTTAACCATGGTGATCAGTCATTTATCAGAATCACACCTTCGCGGAAAAATAAATCAAATTTCATTCATCATATTTGTGCATATTTGAAGAATATTGCATAAAATTGTATATTTGAGGAATATCGGAAGATTCTAGAAGAATCTAAAATTCTTTTAAAATAATCGGCCTCTTATTTGAGGCCCCCTCATTTTCAATGCTTATGGGTGCAGTTTTAGCTTTTCTGAAAGATTAATTTTTCTGAAATAGTCGGATTGCCGAAAAGCAAAGGAAATCCATTTGAGTACACACAAATAACCAGCCAGTCCTCACTCGTATATCCAACTTAGTAAACCTAAATTTTTAATGGAAACAATTAAGTTGTTATGAAAGGAATCGACCATCCATTATTTTAAGTTACTACAAGTGTGCCCGTTGGAAAGTTTTTATTAAGACAAACGCTATACATTTACAGAAATTACCTTGAAATGTTTATCATTGTTAATGTTAACTCAGATCATGAACGTAATTATTTATTTTGTACAATATTTTAAATTATATGTATTTTGTGTGTGCAATTTTTCTTTTATTTACTTTTTAAAAATGAATATATACTAGCCAAAAAAATATACATTAGGAAAAAAAATTATTACTCTTATATTTCTTTCTTCATATTTTAATATTTTTAGTGCCAATTATATAGTTTTCATTGCATATAAATTCTGGCTCTAATAATAACTTTTGGAGAACAAAAATACCATTTCAAAACATTTATTAATTTGAATAATAAAAACTAATGGGATTCAGAATATATTAAATTTAATACAAATGAAAATTTTATATAATTATCAAGCCGAAATGGTATAAATTAACATTACAACAAATTAAACAAACAAATAAATAATAAATCGTTGTTAGATATTATCACACATCCTTTCTGAAATAAGATTGTGTATAATGCTAATAATACGAAAAAACCCATATCACCAAGAACATTGGCAATTATTTTAAAATTGATTTTTTTGAAACTCCTTCTGCTGGCCTATCATTAGCGAAAGTGGGGTTTCAAAATTTTAAAGCATTCTTAAGTGGATAATAACTTAATATTTGGTTGAATAACGAAAGCAATTATATTTTAAACGGTGAAAAATCTGATTTGCCATCTTTCACCCTGTAATTATGGAATATTGAAAGTAAATTAATGAATAATATATCAGAAAGACTTTGGGGGGCACACTAGTTTGTGTCGATAGGAATAAGGAATGCGGCTTATCACTCAATGGATATAAACATGCTATTTATAAAAATTTGCATATTCCAAGGCTTGTGTGAGAGTTAAACAGAACAATCATGCATGTTGCAAATTAAAAAATCAACCGTGTGTCTCGGGTCAACACTTTTAATTTAAAATAATCGTTTATGGAAATTTAAAAAATTGAAACTGCTTCATATTTTTTTCCTTTTTATTATTTTGTGATTGCTTTCCCCTAGCGGATAAATCTAGTTGACAGAATAAATCATATTAGTCCACTTTTCCTTTTCAATCTGCCACTTTACATTCACCTATCGAACTTTTCCCTCATTTTATGCATAAACATGTTCTTAAATTATTTTATTTCCTACACACATAGCAAATGTGATCAGAAAACATTTTTTTATACGGTCACAGCACAACACCCGGAGAAACATGAGAAGCCAGCCAGTACTGGCCTCACTGAGGGATTAAGAAACGAGGAGGTCTCGAGGCTATCGCCGATTAAGGTGACGTGGCCACTGTTTTTTCACCGTTCACTGTGTACATTTTTCTTCATTCATTCTTGTCTCTACTGTCTGCAGCAGTATTCGATAAGCTCGAGGTGTTCTTGGATATTGGAAGTAGCATGGAGAGTATTCGAGGTAAAGGAGGAAATTTCGGTATCGTCCGAGTAAGTAGTGATGGGACTTAGAATGTTCCCTTGTGGGACGCCGGGTTGTATCTGTCTGATTCATTATTCTCTGAAGCAGCGGTCGGATAGATAGGATTTGAGGCTAAAATGATTAGGAGTGAATAGGAAGCGATTTAGTTTATAGTAGTTTGCCTATAGTAACTATGCAGTTCTTTGAATTCTTTGTTACAATTTTTTGAAATACACGTCCCTTAATTGAATTACCAGTTGATTCGTAATGGAATTCATTATTCTATGAATAATTTAAAACTTCTTCTTTACGCTAACTGAAACTACTTTTTATATTTATTATACACTTCAAAAAAATGTTGATATTTTTAGTAA